CCCACGGCCGAAAGGGTGAGCATGTTTCGTGGTATTAAAATAATACAAAGAATCGTTTTAAGCCCCAGTAGAGATTCTAGATAGTATACTTTGTTCATCAAAAAAATGAGAAATCAAGTCTCCAAGAAGTAGCAAATCAAACTCTGTATTTGAATTATTATTTATTGGTTATTAAACAAAATGTGTATGTATTCTTTCAATGATCATTTAATGATTTTATTATATTTTTTTTTACTCCCATAGTTTCCTGTTAGCAGCAGGTAAATATAGATAAAAAAAGAGAATTCATAATTCTTGTCGAATAATTGTTTTCAATCAGAAGTAAACTTTGCATACTAAGTGTTTTCTATCTCCTATCAAAGTTTTCTATCAAAATTTTCATACACATGTCTAGTTGTAATAATAAGTGTTCCTCTAGCTACCCATTATTTTGAGTTGTTCTCTCCTTTGGTGTCATATGCACTTTCTCATGAGAAAGATCAGTATAAAATATTAAGTACTGGTATAAAGCATTAAGCCAAAAAATATGATAACCTATAACCAGAATGCTTTTAAAAGGTGGACCTTTCTTCCACCTTTCAAAAGTGTGCAAGTTATAGAGTATCATATTTTTTTGTTACATTAATTTCTTGAACCTATGTGTTTTCTAACATCCTGAAAGCATTAAGCAAATTCTTCCATTGGCAAGTCAAGTCACACTCGATAAGTACTACATTCTTTATTTGAAGCTGGTAGCACATGTACAACTATAGACAATAATTCCATGCTCTCTCAGTCTGACATAAATCTTAAGCTTCACGCACACATTTACAACAGTTGTCTTATGTGTGAAATCCAGTTTTTTTCTCTTTGATTGCTTTTGTGATTAATATTGTTTTCACACTGCTTGAAACTTTGTGTCCAGCCCTTTTCTTTACCAAATCTCGGTCAAAAAAATAAAAGCATGCAAATATATTTCACATAAAATTTCCTGATCAAACCTCATGTTATTAGTGGGTATTATCAAATCTGTTGAGGAAAACAATTTATGTGGAAGTACCACATTCAAGAAAATTTTAATTTTACCAAAATTAGTTTTCCCATAAGTCTCACCTCTTCCAAGTTTGGAAAAACTTCTAACTGCAATAAAATGATTAGTTTGCAACAATGGTAACTCACCTCTGTGCCTCCTGATGTGAAGATGATATCTGAAAAGAAAAAAGAAAATAACATTCACAACTATGGTTAGTTAAAACTTTTTATTCAGGTGATTCAGAAGACTGCTAATAGGCCAATAACTCAGAAATGTTGGGATACAAGAAAATAATTGTTACTGATATAGAATGAAACATTGTGGGTATATCCTGTGACAATATCATTGAGGTAATTCAAGGTAATTTCCTTTGAAAATATTATTAACTTGCATTACAAATCCAAAACAGCAAAGGTTTACAGGGAAAATTTTATATCAAAAAATTACTACATTTGTTCCTCAAGAACAATAGTTATAGACATAATTGCACTCCTTTCTATGCATATGGAATTGTGCCACAGAAGAACAAAATCCAATCATTGCAATGGTTTGAGGTGCAAGGTAAGAAATTTGCATCAGAAGGGTCAAAAAGGTTAAAAAGAAATTAAAATAAAATCCCCCTATATAAGGTAGAAAATGCTTCTAAGAAATGGCACAGTATTCAGTTGAAGAACAGTTTAACAGTCCTACTGTATGTAAAATGTCAACAGAATGCCTGGGATGCTACCAGATTGTCAGCCACATGGTTCTCTGATGAACATTGACTTTTCCATCATATTATTGGAAACATGTTTCAATAGTCGTATCCTACAAGCTCATTTACACATAGATGCTGTACATACAGACCTGAAAACAGCATTAATATTGACAATGAAGCCATCATATTAGAATTTATCACATTTGGACAGCACTGTGACCACAGCTGTTGACTGTATGGTGTTTTTAGCTGTCTTTTACTCAACACGGTGAATCCATATTTATATAGAATTGGGGGAATATGCAACACTGATGCTACTAATAAGCCTAGTTTTGTTCTTTCAATTTACCTTTGTTCATGGTTACTGATGATGGATGAAATTCCCTAAAACTAGTATAACTCGGTGACAAGTGGTAAAATGAATGATAGACAGAGTTTCGTCTGTACCTTTAGTATTTTAAACAGCTACTGACTGCTTGCTACCATTTTTTAATACTGTTAAGATGTTTTCCTCATCAGCATTTATACATATAACTGTTATTGTGGAGTGATTTTTGTAATTTTTGGTTTAAAATATTTCATTTGTTATTTGTATGCACCTTTGCAATGGACATTTTTGGTATATGGTGTATATTAATATAAGATTAAAAGGACATGACTTTGAATGACCACAGGACAGGCCCACAACAAGTAAAACTAAGTACACATTAACACAGAAGTCTGCATTATAAAGCCTATTAGTAATGTACTAAATAACATTGACATGAGCTCTCCCTCCTTTGCAATCTCTCTCACAAAAGAAGCTAATGATTTGGCCAATGTTCTCTCATGAACTTAAACTTAAAAATACCACTACTGGTCATGAAACTACTTGCAATAAAGTTATTAAACACTTCACTTGAAATTATTTTGAAGACTGTTTAGTTTCCAAATCTTCAAAGATGCTAATACCAGGACTGGACATTAAAAAGCCTAATAGCCAGGGTATAGTAAAGAATAAATTTGCACTAGTTGACAGCATGACATACTAGTCTGACTGGACTAGTGGCTTAATACTGAGTACTTGTTTTATTATTGACTTCTTAATATATTCAACCATTTGATATGTTGTTTTTTAATGTTGAAAAAATGATACATGCTCAAGTTATTTATCTCGAAAAGCAGAAAATGAAGTAACTTAACAGTAAATCAGATAATTATTTTATTTCCCTGCAGAATGACATTGGTACACCATTTAATTTGTTGTTTCAAAGATGGTATCATAACAATTGTTTCAATCATGGTATCATAACAATCCCAAGTATCTTAAACTATTTAGGTTTTGATCCTTTTAATTTTATAGGTATACTTGTAGTGATTCCAAAAATAAAAAAATATTAATGCTATTATCTCAGCCACCACTGAAATTATGCTTTACACTGAATATTAACAAAAATATTTTGTCCAATCAACCCTTTCCAGATGAGTCAAGGGTCAAAGGCCATGTCATCACTTTTGTTGACTGGTATTCAAAATTTTATTGAACTACTATTTCATGAATTTATGTTAATAACTTGTTAATATCAAACTGTAGATTATAATTCAAATGTTAGCATTCTCCCTTACTCAATTTTTTAATTTAAATATTAAATAGTAAATATTAAAAAACACAGTTAAACATCGATTTTTGTGTTTCATGTCATATGTTGAAAGCAGCAGTGGTTCAAATTAGATGTTTGTGTTGTCAAATTACTAAGTCTATAGTTTCATATCAATTAGGAACTTAAAATACCAATATTAAAATATAAAATAAGAACCTCATATCTTTTCTATTTGCTGATATATCACTCATGTAATCCATTTTTGAAACGGTCCGTTATATACACTTACTTCAATATATGACAGATGAATAACCATTTGAAAGCTCAGAATGTCCCCCTAGTGGTTTCCTCAGCCATTTTCATGTGTTAGAACACCATCTCTTTCTTTCAAACCAAGATTTCAAGAAAGTAAGTTGTGCCTCTAGTCTGCTCAAAATTTCATATTTTTTGAGACCCAAATACAGCTT